TCCCCCCAGCAGACCTGGGGGACACGCCATAGAGCAGAGGCCAATTTTGTGCTGTTTCTTAGAGAGCTGATTGCTTTTACCCCGGTGAACATTGAAATGGTCCTTTCTTTCTTTTTTTTTTTTTTTTTTTTTTTTTTTTTTTTTTTTTTTTTTTTTTTTTTTAATCTCCCCTTCATTCCTTCTCCTTTTAGCCTAGATGGAGGGGAGGAGAAATGCCTGTTTCTCAGGGGAGCTGTGGATATTTAGATCCAGAGGTTGCTGCAGGGAGAAACCCCAGGCTGTGAGCAGGGTACCAGTCCTGTATCCCATAGGGATGTGGTTAGTTGTCCCAGGGAAGCAAGGGCTCCTTTCTGGTTCCTTTGCTGGATGCCTGCACTCTGGAAAGGTGCTGGCAAATTTATGACCAGCTCAGAGAGGGAGATCTAGAAAAAGCTGCCACTACTGGGAGAGATTAAGATGTCACCTGCTTAGGCTCTGTGTGAGGGTATGAGGAGGTAAAAATGCTGAGATGGGAGTGGGAACAGATTTTATGGAAAAAGGCCTCTGGAGAGTTAGTGACTTGAAATGCACAGTACAAAAGAAGGCCAAAAGATTGCTGCAGGAGGGTGTGCCACAGAGACAAGGGGGGAGGTGTCTGCCGGGTAGATGACACCAAGGCTGCTTTGAAAAGGGCTACCCCAATGCCCTACCTTCACCCCTGGCTATCTTAGTGCAGAATTTCCCAGTTCCCTCTGTGTTCAGTGCCCTATGGGTCTGAGTGGCCCTTCCTGGCCTTGAGGACTGAAATAAGCATCCTCCTGCTCTGTGAAATGCGTCCTCTAGACACGTCATCTCCAGGTGACCAAGAGGAGCAACTTTGAGTAGGCAGCTCCCAGCAGGAAGAGAAGCCCCTTATACATCCCCATGGCCAAGAGATTCGCCTGGTGTCCAGGGGGAGAGGGTTCATTCTTGTCCAAAAGCTTCATGACTGTTTTGTCTCTGATGGCTATCCCTGCCCTGGGAAACTTGCTGCAGCAATACCCTGAGAAGGGGCTGCTCATCCTCTTGCCTCTGTGGCAGAAGGATGCACCCCAGGGGCTCTTGCCTGCTGCAGGATGGCACTGAGAGGACAAGCAACTGTTCATACCTCAGTTTTCCTCCTGGATGCAGTGTGACTCTGTGGCTTTGTGGCTCTTTGTGCTCAGGACCAGAGGTTGTTAATTAAGAACACAAAGTGGGGGAAGAAGCAGGGACGGAGCACAGACAGCTCTAAAAGGCTGTGCTGGGCTGCCCTGCAATTACTGTGATGCACTCTTGAAAAGAGCTAGGAGTGGATGCAGTTGGTTATTAGGGCTGTGCCTCTCAAGCTTCAAAACTGCTGTTTGTCTTCTCTTTTGGCCTCTTAATTCTCCTGGCAATGCGGCAGAGCTGTGCTTTCTTAACTTCTGTGTGCCAGCCTTAACTCACTCATGGAGGGACCCAGCTACCAGAAGGGACAACCTCCACACTGGCTGGTTCACTGGGAGGCATGGGTCTACATCAGGGAGCAGGAGCAAGATGCTGGGAGGAAGATTGGGGTAGGAGTTATGCAGTCTGCTCCATCTCGTTCACTTACTTCTGAAATTTTACCCTAACCCAGAGATACTCTGGCCATGGAGATGGCTGGGATATGGCAGATCGTGGGGAGGAGGGGATTTTGCTGTGCTGCTGGTCATCCCCCTTGCTACCTCCCCAGGCAGGGTTAATATAATAAAATACCTGATAAGGGGAATAGGTTGAAGGATCATGCTCCCATGTGCAGTTCACCCTCTTTTAAGCAGTGGGGGAACAGAAGTGGAAGAGGGGTTGTCACCTCCTGGTCATTTGGTTTATCAGAAAATTGAAAAAGAGAATGGATCATCACATTAGACGTGTGGGGCCTCAGAGGTGGAGTGTAGCAAGAAACCCAGATCCAAAGGAAAGAAGTGATGTGCTCTCAGTCCCTAAGAGCTACCAACTCTTCTCAAGGAGATGACAGAAGGTAGGGGGGAGCAGCTGTTGAGGCTCCCAGCTGTTGAGCAGGCTGATGCAAGTGATGGAGGCAAAGGGAGAAGGACCCCATGTCTGGTGGTTCTGGTGTCCCAGGAAAACTGGGGCTGGGAGATCTGGACTGTGGGTTGTAAGTGGGACAGAGAGGTCTGTCACCACCTGGAAGTCAGGATCTGACAACCTGGAGAGGCATGATGGGTAAACCTGTGGTTCAGCTCTGAGTGAACCAAGCTCTGTCTGCTCCTTGCTCACCATCCTTACTACATGCCTGCTGTCTCCAGCTAGGAAAGTAGACTTTAGGGAAACAGATGTTGAAGTTTGTCAAGAGGTCAGCAGCATCTCCATTGCTTTGCTCCAACCCAAACAACCTCCAAACATCTCAGTCCCAGCAGATATCCCCTAATGTTCCTGGGAGTGCAGGACAAATGAGCCATGAGAGTCCCTGAAGGGACAAGGACAGAGGTGCAGAGCTCAGGGGGCTCCCCAGGGGCTGCCCTGCAGCAAAGCTTGGGTGGGGATGAGGGACGAGACAGGGTGGGAGGCATTGTGGCTGCATGCAGGGAACTGCCCCAGGGATGGGGAGATGGCTGTGTAACTGCACAGAGCTTGGGGAACAGCTGGGACTGCACTGAGAGCTGGCTCGGCTCGTCAGGGTGTTACCACCCTCATCAAGGTGGCCAGAAAACAGAGGGGACAGATGAGGGATGGAAGGGAGAGAGATTTCCAGGAATGCTTCTTTCCCTGTTGCAATCCCTGAAGTGGGCTTGTGCTCAGGCTCCTTGTGCCTCAGCAGTACAGCACAACCTGTCTCTGCACTGGCACGGATCTGTCCCCTGCCTCAGGCATTCCCCAGGGAAAACAGCCTGTGCACAATCTGGAGGCAGGGACAGAAATTTGTGCTTTATCAGCTCCTGCGTCTGGCTTTGCCACACAGGGACTGTGACCTGCAACGTGCCACTTCCCTGGCACTGTCATCCCTCCTGGCATCTGCTGAGCCAGTCCTGCTGAGTCCTTGCCAGCATCATCTGGCTGCTGACCCTGTGTCCTGTCCCAGGTGTCACCGCCACTGTGCCATAAACCCCTGTGTTTCCATTTCTGTGTTTCCATTTCTATGTCTCCATTTCCCCAAAGTGGATGAAGTTTCATTTCCTTCACTGCTTTCACTGGAGCAGGCAACAACTCTTCTCCCTCTCCCTCCCCGTTTCAGACACTATTTCCAGCTTGTTGATTTCTTCCCTTGAGTAATGTCTTGTTTACACTCATTTACCCTCCAGCCCTTTGGCTTCAGCAATTCCTTTCCTCGGGAGAAAAAGATGATTTCCCGAGGAAAGTCATGTCTCAGGGCAGCCCTGGACCTCTTCCAGCCCTCGGTATTTTTGCTCTGCCAGCTCCCTCTGCTTGATGCCTGTTTGCTGCTGTGAGCAGAGGTAGGGCCTCTGAAATTTCTTTGAACAAAAGCATCGAGGTGCTCCCATCTACTGTGTGCTCTGGCATTAGAATGAGAATTTGGGAGTGCAGCACCCCAGGGGCAGTGTCCCGGTGCTGGAGACCACGGGGTCCAGGTAGCTCCTCACATCCTGGCCGCAGGTGCCAGGCTCAGCAGTGAAGTGAGCTGTGCTGGGGCTCAGCCCCGGTGGGAACGGGGAGCAAAGGTCTCTCCTGGTAGGTCTCTCCACGCTCCCTGTCCAGGACCCCTACACTGCCCGCTCGAACCCAGCCCCGACGGAGGCTCTTTCAGCTCCATTCTGCCCAGTTCAGCCTCTGTGCAGAGCGGCATGGTGCTGGGATATGCTGAATGAGGGCAGTCCCGGGAAGCCAAAGCCCTTCAAGGTGACATCCTCGGGTGGAACCGAGTCCACCTGCGCCCTGCCACCCTCGGAGGGGATGAAGAGACCGATGCATGTCCCTGTGTCCACGGACACCTGCCCGTCCCGTCCCGCGGGGTGGCAGTGCCCGCAGCCGTCTCATGGAGCGGCGGAGCGATTCGCAGCCGCCTCCCCCCTTACCCCCCGCCCTTACCCACCCACCGCCTCCTCCCCACCTCCGGGGGGTCGGGGCGGGCTGGAGAGCCCGGGACCGTGGAGCCCCCGCCCCGCAGCCCACAGCTCTTCGCCGCCGCAGGCGGAGCGGGAGCCCGTGGGCTCCGCCGGCTCCAGGAGGGTTTCGGGCAGGTGCAGCACGTGGAGGAGAGAGGAGCCGCGGGTGGAGCGGGGACACGCAGCCTCGACACGCGCCCGTGGGGCTCAGGAACGCGTGAGTACCTCTGTGTGCGCAGATCTGTGCGAGTGTGTGCGGGGGCTGCGGGGAGGCAAAGCGGGAGTGCTCCCTGCGGCCGGGGGCTGCCAAAGGACGGGGTGCCCGCGCGGAGGACAGGCTGGAGCACAGACAGACACTGGGAACGGGGAGGGAGCTGAGCCGGACGCGGAGCAAGGGGCGATGGTGCGAGCGCAGCAACTTCCTGGCACCGAAGTGTGACAGGAGCGGGCTGGAGTCACCTGTTCCACGGGGGAGCGATTCGGGTGACCCAGGGGTTGCACATCTGGAAGTGGGGACACGCCAAGAAGCCGCCGGGTCCATCTGCACGTCCCCGAGATGAGCCCCGACAACTGGGCGCTTGCACAGGCCCTCGTGCCCGGCAGTGCCGGGCGGCAGCGGGGCTGATCGATGCTTTACTCACCACCGAGGCCACGCAAATGACAAATGCCGGCGTTGCGAAGGCTCCTGGCGGGGCTGGAGACGCCTGCCTGCGCCGCCCTCCCCTGGGACTCTCGGAGTCAATGGAGTTTATTACTTTAACCTTATTTCCTCTCTCTCTGAGGAGCATCTTTTCGGCAGTGCTGCGTTGCAGATGAGGAGCCAGCCCCTGTCAGGAATAGGGGTCTCGGCACTGGCATTTGCCCAGCCAGTGGTGGGAAAGGAAGCCCCCAGCACACCCCCGGCTCACGGACCAGACTCTCAGCTCACAGAGGACAAGAGGAAGAAGGTGAATAAGGGCAGACGGCTTCTCCGAGCTGAGCTCCGAGGGGAGAGCAGCCGCAAGATTTCTTTAGCCTGCCTCTTAAGGCAGTGAAGTCTCCATCCCCTCCCACACTCCCTCCCCAGCCTGACCCTGTCCGGCGCAGGGGTGGTGGGACCTCAGCCTTCAACTGGAGCTTCTCAACAAGCCGTAAGTCCTTCTCGTGTTGGAAAATCAATTTTCCCTCAGCTGTTTTATGGTCGCCCTGCCAGCCCCTCTGCATAGCTGGTGGAATTGGAGCTAGGAGTGATTTTTGGAGTTGGCTTTTGGGGCTGTGTCCCGCTGTGCTTCCAGAGCCCTGCTGACATTTCACTGATGATGGGGTGGAGGGGCTAAGGTGGGCTGAGGAGCTGCCAGGGTTGTTTGTAGATGGGAAATGGGGCAAGAAGCACTTGGGAAGCCTGGAGGGAGCTGAGGTGGAGATTTTCCTTTGAGATTTTTGCCAAAGGAAAGGATGTGGCTGGGGTAGGATGGGTACAAGGGTGCAGAGCAATGGTGATCAGCAGCATCCTGGCACCCTGACACCAATGGGGAGAGGGACAGAGGGAGCAGAGTTAGCAAAGGAGTTGGGAAAGCATCCCAGAAACCTCCCTGTCTCTCTACAGCCATGAATCCTTACGTCAACTGCTCCAGTTCTGAGTTTCCCCTGTCCCAGCAAGACTTTCCTGTGGAGCCCATCAGTCCTGATCTCAGCAACAGGACTCACCCAGAGACCTTGTTTGACCCCAAGGATGCCAACCTGACGGAGGAGCAGCTGCGGGATAAATACCTGGGACCTCGACGGTCCAGCTTCTTTGTCCCAGTGTGTGTCATCTACCTGCTGATCTTCTCAGTGGGGGCTGTGGGCAACACACTCACCTGCATCGTCATCCTCCGGCACCGGTTCATGAGGACACCCACCAACTACTACCTGTTCAGCCTGGCCGTGTCCGACCTGCTGGTGCTGCTGCTGGGGATGCCGCTGGAGCTGTATGACATGTGGAGCAACTACCCCTTCCTGCTGGGTGCCAGCGGCTGCTATTTCAAGACGCTGCTCTTCGAGGCCGTTTGCTTCGCCTCCATCCTCAACGTCACAGCCCTGAGCGTGGAGCGCTACATCGCTGTGGTGCACCCGCTCAAAGCCAAGTACGTGGTGACCAGAAACCACGCCAAGAAGGTCATTGTCACCATCTGGGTCTTGTCGGTCGTCTGCTCCATTCCCAACACCAGCCTCCATGGGCTGCAGCCTCTCTACGTGCCAGGCCGGGGGCGAGTGCCCGATTCAGAGATCTGCACCCTGGTGAAGCCACGCTTGACCTACAACCTCATTATCCAGATCACCACCATCATCTTCTTCTTCCTGCCCATGGGGACCATCAGTGTCCTCTACCTCCTTATCGGTCTGCAGCTCAAGAGAGAAAAGATGCTGGAAGCCTTGGGAGCCAAGACCAGCAGCAGCCGCAACTGCCACAACAGCCAGGGACAGAAGAAAGTCAAGAGGAGGCAGGTCACAAAGATGCTGTGTGAGTCAATGCTGGGGATGGCAGAGCCAGGGAGTATCTCCCAAGGCTGTATTGTGAGGGTGCTGGTGGGAAACTGAGGTATGGACAGTCCAAAGCACTGAGGCTGGCTCATTCTGGAGGAAGGCTTTGGCTCTGGCTTGTGGGGTGTCAGAGCAAAGGCAGATCTGGTGGTTCCAGTCCAGCACGAGCATTTCTCGTGACAGTTCCCTCCCAGCCATGAGACCTCCCCTCCTCAAGGAACGTGCTGGGTGAGAAAGGGAAATAAGGTGGGTTGGGATGGGAAAACCTGCTCCCCTTCCCCCAGCCCAGACCTCACATGCTGGTGGCAATGATGGCATTTCCCAGAGGGGGAGGACCATTTCTGCCCAGCCCCACAACCTTTGTGACTGTGCCGAGGCAATGACCCAAATCTGAACTGGAGCAATCCTCTGTCCCCCTGCTCTGTGCTCTTGATCCCCTCCCCAGCACAGTCCCCAAAGCTTCTGGCCCCCTTACCAGCAGTGGGAGCTGGCTGCTCATGGGTAGCTGTCTCTCCCCAGCATGCTGACCTCTGCGTGCTCCCAGTCCCGTGATGGCACAGCAATGGCAGGTTGCCCAGCCCAGTCCAACAACAGGGCCAGAGCTGCTTCCCCACCATGTCCCAGACAAGTGGTAACTCTGCTTCCTCTGGCACCAGGGCTGGGAGGGGGAAAGTGGGACCTGTCCCTGCATGCCACAGAGGTGCATGGTGGCAGGGGTATGGCAGAGCAGGGGACCCCAGGACTACCTATACATCACCCTCTTTGCTTGCCATCAGCAGAGCTGGGTTATAAAAAAATCCTCAAAACCAGAGTACAAGGAAAGGTTGCAAATAGCTCTTGCTGCTTGGACTTTGCTGGTGAAGGTGGCAGGTTCCTGGGAGCTGGATGCCAATAGGGGAGCCCCCCAACTGTGTTGCACAGCCCCAGGGCTATGGCAGAGCTGCTGCTTGCAATGAGGAATGGAGATGTCTGGCACAGGAACACCTGGAGCAGCCCTGGCAGGAGGTGGTGGGAGGGAGATCCTGTCCAGACCACCCAACCCCTCCATGACAAGTCCAAAAGGCACTGGAGGGACCTTTCCACTCTCTCTCTTCCTCTCTCTCTCTTGTATTTTTAGTTGTTCTTTGCTGTGGCCAAAGCTGGGAAGTGTTTGGCCATGGACTGGAGGTCTCTGGGGTGGTTGGTGAACCCCATCCCCCCAGTAACACTGGCTCCTCATTTCCCCACAGTCGTGCTGGTGGTGGTGTTCGGTATCTGCTGGGCTCCCTTCCACACCGACCGCCTCGTCTGGAGTTTTGTCTCCACCTGGACCAGCAGCATGCTCCACATGTTCCAGTACGTCCACATCATCTCAGGTGTCTTCTTCTACCTGAGCTCGGCTGCCAACCCCATCCTCTACAACCTGATGTCCACCCGCTTCCGGGAGATGTTCAAGGAGGTGATGTGCCGCCCCGGCCACCGCCCGCCGTGGTCACGGAAATACTCGCCCAGCGTCACCCGCACCACCACCCGTAGCACCGAGTGCGAGCCCGTGCCCGGCACCAACGGGCTGCCCCTCTCCGACGCCGAGGAGTACGAGCTGGAGGACATGGAGAGGGGCCAGGCCACCACCCACACAGTGTCCCTCTGATGAAGAGTGGGAAGACACGGGAGGACTGGGACCAGTTTTCCTCACCACCAGCATCCATCTGACTGTGACACTCATCCTGTGGTGGGGAGCAGGGCAGGAGTAATGGAGGGGTCCCTGACTCTCTGGGCTCATCCCACTGGGATGCAAAGGCTGGTTGTATCGGCAGTGCTGCTCCAGGGGCATGGTGGCAATGGCCACGCTGTGCCCTGGATGCACTGCACCCACTGTGCTCAGCACTAGAGCTGGCCAAGGCATCCTTTGTGGTGTGGGGACAGTTGACTTCTATGTCAGGGATATGCAGGCAATCCCCAAAAACATCCCAGCCATGGGGATGCAGGGGCTGGTATTGGGGGTGTCAGGCACCCCAGGCTGTTTTGGGACACAGGGCTGGATGGGTGCCCTGAGAGGTGCTCATACCTGGGGTGAGACCCATGGAGGTGGGAGAGGTTTGCCTGTGATGGAGTGGGGGAAAAACAGTCTGTGGGTGCCTTCTCCCTCGAGACGTCCTCAGGGCTCTCTGGCACCAATGTGACCCTGATTTTGTGGCACATCCCTTCAGCGGGGCCAGCTGGTGTCCAGCTGCAGGGTGATGGTACAGCTCCTTCCTCCCACCCTGCATTCCCAGCCCTTTGAGGGCAAGGGAAGGAGTATGTCTGCTCTCTTCAAAGATGGAGTCTGCGGGAGAAAATACAGGACAAAAGGACAAAGGAGCCCCAGACTGCCTGTAGTGCCAAGGCACAGCTCCATGCCTGTCCTTGTGCCCCACAAATATGCTCCCCTCTCCCCTCTCTGATCATAGGTGCCACCCTCTTCTTCCTCTGCCCATCATGGCCCCCTGAACCCCTGGGGAATGTGGGGAGCCCTTCTCCATTCCTGCTGTGCACAGGTTGAGCCTCACTGAGAATTAAAAAGAGTCATTGGCTTGATTTGTGACCCGGTTGTGTCTCCCAAGACCCAGAGCTGCTCCCAGCATGGGACTGAACCTGGGCCATGCTCCTGGAGAGGGCCATGTGCCAGAGTGGTTGGTAACAGGATAATGGGCACCAGGGTGTTTCACCAAATCTCCCTGAGGGCTCGGCTGCCTCTGTGGGTCTGTGGGTCCAGGCACATTCAGGGCATGGCAGGGAGGGCATAACTGGGATGCACACATCCATCGTGGTCTCCAGGATTCTCAGGCTGAGCTGGGGCTGAGGCCTTTGCAGAGGGACGGCTGCCTCTGGAGCGGTGGCTGTCCCCAGATCAGTCTGTCCCCAGACACACAGCTCATAAAATGTCACGAAAAGGCCAGGGAGCGTGGGCTGGCTGGTCGTGCTCTCCCGGGGTGGAAGGACCCATCGATTTCCTGTCTGAGATCAATGCTGCTGACTTCCCGGTGTACACCAGGTCCTCCCGCAGGATGAAATATTGAGGATCTGAAACAGCAGCTGAGGGACTGCCCAAGCAGCTTGAGCTCTTGCTTTGCGCTACTTTACCAGCCCCAGATCCCCCTAGTCAGCTGTGGAGGCTCCCTTGGCTCAGCATCCCATGGCTTTGCCTCTGGGCAGCGTGGACCCTGTGAGGGGACCTGAGCAGAAATGCTGCAGGAGCAAGCCACAGGCAGAGCCCTGGCAGCTGCTGCTCTGCTTCCAGCCTCTTCTGAGAGGGACATCAAACGGGACTGTGGCCAGGCCAGTGAAGAAGAATGGGCAGGATTTCGAGCTTGCAAACTCCCTCCTGCCCCCATTCACTCAGTCCCTGGCTCAGAGGCAGTGCAGATGGCTCCCCTCTGCTTCCCATCCCCACAGCAGGATCTGCCATGGGCAGATCCTTCCTCAGCCCTTGTGGGTCCTGTTGGGTGCTGCTGAATGAGGGTGGGCTTTGGGCTGCAGTAACTCTGCGCTTCAGTCCTGCTGACTGCTTGCAGCCTCTCTCTGGAGGATGTCAGTGTGGCCAAGGGCATTGACATCCCTCTCTGTCTGCTGTTGCTGGTGGTACTGGCAGGGGACAGCACCCTGGCAGCCATGTGAAGACTCTTGTTCCTGTTACATGGGTGGATGTGACTGATGCCTCCTTGATGGCCATTATTGCCCCATCTCATTTCACCCAGCCACTTTCCCAGCCAGTAATCTCCAGGGAATGGCTTTTTAATAGGCAGTCAATAGTATTTTATTATGCAGTAACAGACAGGTGCCCGTGTGAAGCTTTGGGGGTACCTTGTGCTGCAAGTCGGGAGAACGTGTTTCCTTGCTCATGAGCAGCCAGGCTGTGCAAGGATGCAGCTGTGGTTGCTCCAGCTCAAGCTACTTGTCAGTGCCAGAGGACAGTGTATGTGTTCCCAGTTTTTTTTAAGGACGTTCTGGGTCTCAGTACTCCTGGAGTTGAGTTCAGAGGAGCCAGAAAGATGAGACATTGGCTTTGTCTTCATCCAGCCTTTTGTCCCCAGCTGTCCTGCTATCCCCTGACCTGGGACTTCCCATCCTTCTTGGCTACCCTAAATTCCCCTCTCTGAGATGTGGGAGGGGAATGTTCTGCTCAGGCCCTGGCATATTGGGCAGTGATGCTGAGGCTGCCCCACAACCCACTCCCCGCACACACAGCTGGGCCAGGATCACCCTGAAAAACATCCCAACAATTTGGCAAAGCTGCAGCTGCAGCGCAGTTGGTGGCACATCCTGGGTGGAGATGTGAGGGCAAACTTTGCTCCCCTAGCTGTGATTTGGTGACAGTGTGTGGAGATGTCCCTGGTTACCACGTGCCAGCCAGGCTCTCAGGAGATGCTGGAATCAAAGGCTCCCGGGCAAGTCCTTTAATCCCTTAATTAATAGTAAAATCTGCTGTCAGGGCTTGTAACCTAATGAAAAGAACTGATCTCTTCAGGGAGAATGGTTTCATGGAGAGGGTTTTACACCTCTCCATCACTAGGAAAGCAGTGGTTGATGGCTCTTGCCAGCCTCAGGCTCATTGCAGACCCCAGGAAGGGAATTATGGAGCCTGTTAGCACTGAGGACAATGTTCCCAACTGCCTCAAGCCCTCAGGGTCAGCCTAGTCCCTGCTGCCTCCCCAGTATAAATTAGAGGGATTATTCCTGTCAGGGAGGTGGTATAGAAGCAAAAAGCCCTGTGGGAAAGGGGAAGGCAGAAGCAAGGGATGGGTAAGTTGTTTCCACTTCTCCACCTATGTAACTGGCCAGGGAGAATGACTGACATTTCAGGATGGCTGCGGGGAAGGGCCATCCCAAAACAATGCCTGGGAGAACAAACATTTCAGGACCCAAGGCAGCCCAGAGGGGACAGAGCAGTGGTACATCGAGGGGCCAGGAGCCGCAGAGAGTGTGTGGATGCTGTTGCTCCACGTCTTTGCTTGGAGCTGGGAGAAGCATCTCTTTGTCCCTGCAATATGGAGCACATGGCCAAGCTGGGCTCCACGCCACCACCTCCTCTCCAAACACTTAGTTTCCGAAGAGCCATCCCCCAAAATGTGTCTCTGTCTCATCTGTCCTCCCAGACTTACAGCAGCTTCTGTCCAGCTCCTGCTTAATCACCTGCTCCCGGCTGCAAGGAGTGCTCCTGCCCCCCCATGTCCACTCAGCACCCCCACAGTGAGCGCCCATCCTCCTCCATCACCTCTGGCCCCGCTCCCAGGAGACTCCCTCTCTCCCAGCAGCTCATGGAGTTGTTTTCCCCCTGCGCTGCCGCACACCCCGAGCGACACAGTATCTCCAGAGCTTTCAGTGAAAAGATTTATCACCATAGCTTTGGGGATTAAAAAGCAATCCATCTGTGCGGCTGCCCCAGCCTTGTAAGGCTTTTTTTTTGTGCTGTGGTTGTTTGCAACAGGCATGGGGTGTTTTTTTTTTCTTTCCTTTACAGAGCCAAACTCAAGTTTTACAGCAATTGCCTTGTATATTTGTAGCCATGATAGATGGCTCCTGAGTGTGCCAGCAGATATTTTGCCGCCCCTTTTCAAGGGAAAATGGTTTCAAGAAAAGAATTGTTTTTCACTTCCTTCGCACAGTCATGGTATGGGGAAGCAGTCCCTGTCTGGGGTTGGGCAGTGGGGCGGCTTTGGGCCGCCCAGCCATGGATGTCACACAGCAACCTTTCCCACTGAGATTCCAGCCTTTGTGAGGGGGTGCAGGGAAGCAGGAAAATGCAGATGTCAGGAAACCACAGGGATGTGCTGAGTTTGAGCTTAGGCGGCTTTTTGAGCCACATTTCATTTATTTCTCTTGAATTCCAGGACAGCGGTGGTGGTGAAAAGCCAGCATCTAGGGGGAAAAACAGACAGCAAGAGATCATAGAATCATGAAATAGTTTGGGTTGGAAGGGACGTTTGAATGTCATCTAGTCCAACATCCAATGTGTATATGTAGAATTTGATTCTGCTCCTCGGGGACACCCCTGGGCTCAGCTTTTAGCCCCATGCCAGAGGCAGCCCATCTTTCTGCTGCTTCCCAAAGAGCCAGGACTCTCTCATAACACAGCTTTCAAGCAGCCTTGTGCTGTGGGGAGTCTGGGAAGAGGCGGTGTGGGGAGCACAGCCCCCCCAAGGGCCTGGATGGAGGAGCTCAGGTGCAGTTCTGGATGCTCAGGCTGACTCAGCCGCAGTGCAGCGTGACTGTCACCTGCACTGGGGGTGGCCTTCTCCACGTCACAGCAAACCCAACAGCCCTGGAGGAACCAGGCCATGTGCAGGTTAGGGATGGCGCCCCTGTACCCCACCTCTCCCTACCTTAGGGCATGCAGAGAGGAAACACGCTAGGCTAGAGGGACAAAAGACATCCCTAACAAGTGAAGGTCTGGGTGTTATTCCCAGTCTTAAATGCCACTGTCCCCATGGCAGGGTGAGGGAAAGGACAGAGGTTCAATGCACAGTGCAGTCTAGCAGGGACAACACATTAAAGCCACCGGGTACCTCACAAACATCACCTGGGGCAATGTTGAAACCCCACCTCAGTGGGTTAGAAGAGACTGCCTGGTTAGCCCACGCCTTCTCCCGTTGTGACTGTGTTGTTGCTAAA